CTTATTTTGAGTGTATAAAAACAAAACTTTAATTCTGCTCAAAAAGTTCATTTCAATATGAGGAAGACTTGTTGTTGTTTGGCTTGAAGATAAATCATTTAAATTTTATCTATTACGGACCCCTGAGAGCCCATCCATGGACCCCAGAGTTAAGAACACCACTAAGTGGTTGCTTTTCTTATATCGTATATTATATAAAGAATGATCTGGTGCTGGAGATATGTGGTGAGGCACCTTGAAGACACGTTCATTATTGCTATGTTTAGGAAGTATTAGATGTGCAGGAGCTTCGTTAAGAGGGGATGTTGCATGTTGCTGGCCTCCAGGAGTTGAATAGAGAGCTGAACCTTGGGGACTGGAGGAGGTGTTGCGTGTTCGAGGCTTTTAGAAAAGGCCAGATGTGGAAGACTGCTGACTTATATACTGGCATGGAGAGTAACCCCGTGAAGACTCATACAGTTCTTGACTCCATTTGCTAGGGAGGAACGTAGCAGCTGATGACCCCCCTGAGCAATTGGCTGGTTGCTAGAGATAATGTTGCATTGGGAATGCAGATGTAGTTGTGGGGAGATCCACTGCTCTGTCTCCCCCCCCTCCCCTCCATTTGCAGGAGACTTGTTGTCCAGCTTGGGATTTGTATCTCACATGAACGAGACATAACAGGCAAGGTGTGAGGATAAATTAAACCCGCCCTGTGGAGACTGACTCTGTCTGAAGCCACGAGATCTGTGGGAGAAGCAGAGGGAGAAAGGAGGGTTGTGGATAGGAAGGTTTGTACTGGCGAGGGAATGTGGTCTTCTATCACCGCAGGTGGAGGGGCCAGGTGCAGGGAATTGTCTGGGTCAGTGGGGCCCCGTGCAGAGTTTGTCAGGAGCAGTAGGTACCCACGGATGAAAAAAAGAGCGTGTCTGAAATGTTGTGGGCAGTGGTGTTCAGTGGCCAATGGTGGGTAGACTAGTGGAGGAGGTGTTGGATAAAATGTGTTCAGGGCAGGTGGGAAGGCTGGCGTAAGACGGTAGCCTTGAATACGAAACACCTCGATGTGGTAGTAAGTGTGACGGGCAGCAGAGATGCAGTGGTCAAGATCAAGTAAAAGGCGTGTGATGTGCTGTGATAGTGGCGGAGGGATTGCTAGCGCCTGCAGTCTCCGTCATGTTGCTTCGCCGTGTAGACACTGAGAACCTCCTACGTCTAGCTTTAGTGCCAAAACGTTGATGGTACCAACAGAAAGGTGTTTGTATGCTGGGACTGGCTGGCGGGTCTGGGAGGCAGGACAGGGGTGTTGTTTGGGGTTGGTAGGACACAGTGCGTGGGGCAGGAACAGGAGAAGAAGCAGGCATGGAGGAGCAGAGCTGTGGTGTCCATCCTGGTTTAAAGAAGTTGCAACAGGTCTAATGTCTTGCTTGTCTGGTGGAATGCTACTTCTTTGAGGCGTTGGTCAGAATATGAACGAAACCAGGGCTAGAGTGGAGATGTGACCACTGATGGTTTACTGACCACATATTTTGTGATATTGGTGAATATTCTGTCTGCCGGTTGTGTGATTCAGGTGTCGATAGTAATCTACTGCGGACAGGGTGATACATTACTTGTGTGGGGGGGCTTTTTGTGTGTGAAGCTGGCGCAGGATGGGTTCAGGAAGTCTGTCTGCGTGCCGGGAGTTCAGCCTACATCTCCTCCCAGAGAAGTCCGGGTTAGGTTTCAAGGGAGATAGAAGATGGGTTCTTGGAGACTGGGGCAGATCCCGTCGGTAATGCGTTTTTAAGGCGTCCCGCAAGTGGCGGGTGTTGTTCTCTGATTGGAAGTAATCCGTGACCATGCGTGGCGAACTTCCGTGGGTAGAAGGAGAGCAGGGCACCGTACTTTGCTCGTCAGTAGCTTTGTGAGCTGATGAGATTGCTTCACATGATCCTAACCAGTCCTCGACGTTGTGGTTGCAAAGAAGTCGGTAAAGATCCGTCCGTCCACTCCATCCTGTGAGTGCGTTTTCAGGGGTCTCTCCTTTGTAGGGTGCGTGTTATTATGTTGTCTAGCACTCAGGATGGATGGATGGAAACTCTAAGTGGTGGTTTTCTCATATAAAATACTCTTATATACAAGACAGTCTGGTGCCAGAATGCCGTGTGGTGATAGCTGCTCGAAAGACACGTTCGGTGAAGTAAGCGTGTTTTGAGTAGAGGTGGGAAGGCTTCGTTAGGATGTTTATATTTGCTGGCCTCCAGGTTGAACAGAAGCTGGACAGCGAGAGCTTGCTTGGAGGAGAGTGTTGCCCGTTCAGGAACTTAGAAAATGAATTTCAATGGAAGACTGACTTATATACACAACAGCGAAGTAAACCCGTGGGAACTAGCCGGTTTCTTGACTCCGTTGCTATGAGCGTAGCAGCTGGCTGACCCCCGAGCAGTTGGCTGGTTGCTGGATACTGTCACATTGGAATGTGGATGTAGTTGTAGAGGAGATCACTACAATACTAGTGAACGGTTCAACATACTAGTGAATGGTGCATGATACTAGATAGTGCAGGATATTAGTGGTGATGCTGGATACTAGTGTGTGCAGGATACTTGTGAACAGTGCAGGGATGCTTAAGGTGCAGGTTGCTAGTGGTATAATTCTGCATGATTCATACGAGCACTGATGGAGATTACAGAGCCTAGTTTGGTTATGTCATGAAAGAGGCATGTTCTTTAGATTTAGAAGTTGTTCTACCATAAATTGTGGAGATGACACATGCTGTGTGGATGCTCTCTCATCTCATTTGGAACAATTTATTTACATTTTACTACCCTCTTTTTGTCTTCCTTTAGGTGATTATTGAGCCAGTTTTCTGGTAAAACTGGTTCGAAAAGTTCTTGGGACTCCAAAGAAGCTGAATCAGCTAAAGCAACAACGACTAAATAAGTGATTTCCTGATATCACATCACTGAAACCACAAGAGATGAAAATAGGTACTTAACTATTTGCTCATTATATATACATATTATATATACATATTATATATATATATATATATATATATATATATATATATATATATATATATATATATATAGTCTACAATCTTTCTTCCTTTCTTTTTTTTAGGTATTTTGTCTGGCTATGTTTGGTTGATTTGATATCTGTGTATTGCCGGCAAGGCTGTGGGATCGTAACACGTCTTGCCTGTGGTGCTCCACTGTTCTCTGTGGATGTCGGTCACGATGCATCACTAGAATAACTGTGGAATGTATGAATTTTTTATTTAGGCTATATGTAATCTCGCACTAAGGATGGGTGAAGGGAACCTCTGGTTTTTATAAATATATTATATGTACAATGATGCTATAGATTTTACTTTGTTCTGTTCTTAGGAATAATAATCATCCCATTGCTGGGGAAAAAGCTTGGAAGTGTTTAAATCGTCTTGTGTCACAGAAAGACTTCTGGTTGAAGTTGTTTGATTTAGGAATTAAATCAATGACTTAGGAGTTAAGTTCAAACTGTATGTATTACATAAATTGTTGTCCAGTGTCCAAAGGTTAAAAAATGCTTTGAAACCTTTGATCTAGATGTATGATAGTTATTTAATGGGTCCCTTATTTTTTGACCTGACCGACTAGTCACGTCACCCCCTTCTTAAAAGCTCCTCTACGTGATGTTGGTGTGGGGATTAATGGATGACATCATTAGGAACCCTAACCTCATGTTTTTAAGGTCACTTTCATATATTAAGCCTCTCTCTGTCCATTAATCCAGTTGCTTCTGAGAATGTCTTGAATAAAGACGAAAGCTAGGAGGTGCTCCGTTGTTTCCTTTTCGTGTGATTTTATCAAGATTAATCTTATCCATGCTTTCATTGTGGATCTACATGAAATATATATATATACCCTCTCTGTTAAAAGAACGGTTTGGTTAACAAAATTCCAGTTAACAGTACCTTTCATAAGAATCTTCAATTCGGTTAACAAACAAAAATTTGATTAACAGAAATCCTTACTTAAGCATCACGTTTTGTTGTGAGCATCATCCGATCAGCTGATGGGCTATTCTGCCAATTCAGTAATCTGTTCTGTGTTTACATTTGTTTGATGAAATATCAATAAAGTTGTGCTCTTCAATATTTTTGCATTTTTTATATAAAATTATTAATCATTTTAACATTTTTATATAATGATAATATATGCATTACAGGAACTAGTTTTTTGTTAGCCCATCAGCAGCTCGACTCAGCACTTAGGTGTCAGTTGGGCAACGATAGTCGAGTGGCATCTATTTTGATAGTGTTTGAATATTTAGCATTTTATTAAATTATTGGTCATTCTCAGATTTGGTATAATGAGTATTATTGGTGCAGTGTGTTGATTTAAAGAAAATAATCTTGATTTACACCTAGTGAACTAAAAATTTTGTAGTGAAAAAATCCCTGAAGGTGATTTCTCCTCCATCCCCTTCCTTCTCCTTCTCCTCCACCCCACTTCTAATTCCATCATCATCATCAACCAGGAACCTTCTACCACCTCAAAGTAAGTGTACTTTAAATTTTTTTACATGTATATGAGCTGGAACCAAATATTCAATATCATTGAAACAATGGATTCGAGTTCAAAAATTTCGGTTTAACGAACATATTCTGGAAACAGATTGTTTACATGAGGACCCACTATATATATATATATATATATATATATATATATATATATATATATATATATATATATTTTATATATATATATATATATATATATATATATATATATATATATATATATATATATATATATATATATATATATATATAATATGTACTCAAGTTTATTTTCACCAGCTCTTACTGTGACATGAGATTATGTATAATACAGTATTAGATTGGTAATGTATATATGTACTCTGGGTAATATTATAATTTATTGGTTTTGTACAAGCACCAAATTGTTAAATCAAGTTACACTGTAGTGAATTATCCCCTACAGTGTGTGTGTGTGTGTGTATGTACGAGAGAGAGAGAGAGACCCCTACGTTTTTATTATGTTAAAGTAAGAGCTTTTTTCCTCTATCAGCTTACTTCTGGTGTTCACTCCTGGTGGTGCAGGCGTTTGTGTTCATGCTGTTGGTCGTGATCTTCTTCTTCAGCCACACACCTTCAACCACCACTCTGCCTCCGATCCACATCCCTCTATGGCAGGTTCAGGAGCTGTTAAGATACCAAGGGCGACTCCTCAAGATTGGCAGCAGTGGCCAGTTAGAGGTTCTCCCAGACCGTCCTGAAAGAGGTACCACGTCCGATGACCCCAAAGTTATTGTTGATGACGAAGCCAGTGATTTTGTCATTAAAGGAGGTGACGTGATCAGTCCTCGTGATGGTGAGGGAGGTGATGTTATCAGTCCTAGTGACAGTAAGGGAGGTGACATGATCAGTCCTCGTGACAGTGGAGGAGGTGATGTGAACACTGGTCATGACGATGGAAATGATGCAAATACTGTTCAAGGTGACGAGGAAGTAAACACCAACATTGATCATGACAACGAGGAAGAACAGGTAATCAGTGTTTATGACAACTTAGGTGGTGACAGGAGTAAGTACAGTACAATGAAATATTGGTGGTGAGATACTGAATATGAAGATTAGAGACGAAATGAGTGGTGATTGAGGTGGTTAGGTGAGTGGTGACTGAAGGTGGCAAGGAAAGTGGTGACAGGTAGTGAGGTGAGTAGTAACTGAGGTGGTAAAAGGGATGACTGAGATGGTGAGGTAAGTGGTGACTGAAGGTGGCAAGGTAAGTTTTTTTTTTTACGGGGATTAGCCCACCCGAGCGCAGGTCACTGACCCACATTAGGGCCTGGGGGGCGATGATGATGATGATGATGATGATAATAATAATAATAATAATAATAATAGTAATAATAAAAATTAATAATAATAATAATAATTAATAATAATAATAATAATTAATAATAATAATAATAATTAATAATAATTAATAATAATAATAATAATAATAATAATAATAATGTAGGGTATCGAAGTATTAATGTCGTCAAGCACTCAGGATGGAAGGAAACTCTAATGTGGTTTTCTTGTATAATATAAAAGTTATATGATAGACAGTCTGGTGCTGGAGGTGCTGTGTGGTGAGGAGCTGGTCAATAGAGACGTTTGGTGAGTAGCTTGGTGAAGGAGGTAGATGTGCAGGAGCTTCGTTAGAGAAGATGTTGCCTGTTGCTGGCCTCCTGATTGAATGAATGCTGGACAGCTAGGAGCTTGCTGGAGGAGATGTTGCTTGTTCAGGAAAATGGGCAGAATGAATCTCAATGGAGAGACAGAGCTTATATACACCCAGCAGCGGCCGCCAGTCCTCTATGAGTCATGTTGGGAAAACCCGAGAAGTAGCCGGTGACTAGTTCCGTTGCTAAGATACGGCGGGCATTGGAATGCGGATACGCTTGGTTGCTAGGGAAGACGGTAGCAGGTGGTGTGCAGCTACGCAGTTTGTAGAGACGTCCACTACAATACTCCCCCTCCCCTCCCGGCGCGGCGGGAGGCTGGATGTTGTCCGGGTTGTGTCCCACACATAACACATACCGGGCAGGTGTATGTACGACTCGACCGCTACGTGTAACAACTCCATCCAGTGACACAAAACCTGTGGGAGAATTGGGAGGAGAAAGAGGGTTTGGGATTAGAGGAGGTTGTACAAGCAATGGTTGTTGTGCTCCTGCTGCTGCAGGGGCTGCGTCAGGAGGAGGGTCCATGGCAGGAGCAGGTTCTATGATAGAAGGGAGATCTATTACAGGTTCAGGTTCTATGACAGGAGGAGGGTCTATGACAGGAGCAGGTTCTATGATAGAAGGGAGGTTTATTACAGGTGCAGGTTCTATGACAGGAGCAGGTTGTACATGAGGGTGAAAAGAGGGTGCCCAGAAATGTCGTGGGCGTGGTGTTGCTGCCGGTGGTAACTGCGGGTGGACTGGTGCAGGCGTAGTTTGTTGATGGTGCTGCTGGGCTGGGGGCCCGACGGGTAAGGTGGCCGGTTTGACTCGGTCTATGCTGACGGTGTCATGTCTGCCATTCCGGATAATTGTCAGGAACTTTGCTGAACGGGTAACCACCTGGAAGGGTCCATCGTAGGGGCGTTGTAATGGGTTGCGGTGAGCATCATGCCTGACGAAAACATACTCGGCTGTGAGTAGTGCAGGAGGGATGTGTTCAGGGCGCCGAGTAGGCTGGCGTGGAGCAGTAGCTCTGAATGCAGAAACTGCTTGTCGTAGCTTTTGGAGTAAGTCGTGACGAACGGCTGGAGTGGTTTGGTTGGGATCAGGAGGGAGTGAGAAATCCCCAGGTAGCCGAAGGGGCTCGCCTAGTGTCAGATCTGCTGGGCTACAGTCCATATCCTCCTTGTGTGACGCACGGATGCTGAGGAGCACTAAGGGAAGCGCATCAGTCCAGCTGTAAGGGTCGTGCTGTGCCTTGAGTGCGTCCTTCAGCTGCCGGTGAAAACGCTCTACCATGCCGTTGGCTTGAGGGTGGTATGCTGTAGTGCGTTGTCTAGACGTGCCGAGGAACTGTAGGAGGTGCTGCCAGAGTTGTGACTCAAACTGTACTCCTCGGTCAGTGATTACGGTTGCGGGGGGGCCAAAACGGGAAACCCAACCGGACATGAAGGCGCGGACAGTAGTCTCTGCTGTAGCGTTGGGCATGGGAATTGCTTCTGTCCACCTGGTGAAACGGTCGATGCAGGTGAAGATGTAGGTGCTACCGTAGGATGATGGTAGAGGTCCCACGATGTCGAGGTGTACTACTTGAAAACGTCCTTTGGGAATAGGAAAGGCTTGTAAGGGGGCCCGTATGTGACGATGTATTTTGGAGGACTGGCAGGCCAGGCACTGGGCAGCCCATTTCTTAGTATCAGACTTGATGCCGGGCCAGACGACACGTTGCGTGAGGAGGCGCTGGGAGGCCCGCACACCCGGGTGGCTGAGACCATGGATGCGGTCGAAAACAGCGCGGCGGTGGACGTGAGGCACGAACGGTCTAGGCTGTCCACAGGATACGTCGCACCACAATTTTATCTTTGTGCCTTGGAGTATGAGGCCTGAGGGGGATGTCTTGTATGCTGGGTCTTCGTCTTTCTCTTGAGCCGCGGCTGCTGCCCATAATCAATGGGTGGAGATGAGGGAAGAAGGCGAGAGAGGGCGTCGGCGATCTCGTTGTGGCTGCCTTTAATGTGGGACGTCGCTGGAGAACTCCGAGATGTAAGCCAAGTGGCGCAGGACACGAGGTGTATGTGACTGGGAAGCTGAAGCGAAGGCGTGGACGAGGGGCTTGTGATCAGTGAAGATGGTGAACTGACGGGCCTCGAGGAAGTGTTGGAAATGTCTGACAGCCAAGTATATGGCCAGGAGTTCTCGATCAAAAGCGCTGTACTTGAGGTGTGGTGGTTGAAGCCGTTGTGAGAAGAAAGCAACGGGCATGAAAATTCCGTTGATCTCCTGCTGTAAGACGGCGCCCACTGCAGTAGAAGAAGCGTCTGTTGTGAGAGTGGTCCGGGCGTTAGGTGCGGGGTGGGCTGTTTGATAGTGGTGAATGCCGTAGTAGCCTCTTGAGTCCACATGAGAGACTTGTGAGACTTCTTTGGGCGTCCCTTGAGAAGGTCGTGTAGGGGGGCTAGGACGGTGGCAGCTTTGTCAATGAAGCGGTGGTAGTATTTGACTAAACCCAGGAACTCTCGGAGTTTCTTCGCCGTTTCAGGTTTGGGGAATTCCCTAATCGCGGTTATCTTCTGTGGTAGGGGTTGTATGCCACTGGGCGAGACTCTGTGACCGAGGAAATCGATGGCCGAGGTTCCAAAGACGCACTTAGCAGGATGAACTTTCATGTTGTTGTTCTGCAGGCGTTGGAGAAGGAGTTGTAGGTGGTGGCGGTGCTCGGCAGGCGTCGAAGATGCGACGAGGATGTCGTCAATGTAGACGGTGACAAAATCGAGGTCGCGAAGAATATGGTCCATGAACCTCTGGAAAGTCTGTGCTGCATTGCGTAAGCCAAAACTCATGAAAGTGTACTCGAAGAGTCCGAACGGAGTGGTGATGGCTGTCTTCTGGGTATCTGCCGGTGCTACTGGGATCTGGTGGAAAGCACACTCCAAGTCGATCTTCGAGAAGATAGTCTTGCCATGAAGTTTGTGGTGAAAGTCCTGGACATGCGGAATAGGGTACCTGTCAGGTTTGGTGACGAGATTCAGGGCTCTGTAGTCGCCACACACCCTCCACTCGCCGGGTGTTCGCTTAGGAACCATGTGAAGAGGCGATGCCCGGGGACTCCTTGAAGGGCGAATGATGCCGTCTTGCAGTAGTTTGTTGAATTCTACTTTGGCTGTGTACAGGAGCTCAGGGCGCAGGCGGCGAGGGCGTGAAAAGACTGGTGGTCCTTTGGTTTCGATGTGGTGGAAAATTCCCGACGTAGGTGGTGGGGGTATGGAGACTCGGGGTGAGAAAAGCTCCTTGAATTCGTCGAGCAGGGAGGAGAACTCGTTGGAAGGCGCAAGACAGGTGATAGCGTCCGTGTGTCTGGCACGAGAACCCTGGATCTTGCGTGCTGTAGGCTCATGACTGAGGCATAGATGACTTGGTTTGACGCCGAGCTTGTGGAAGGTGAGGAAGTCGAAACCAAGGATGGGTTGAGACACGTCTGCTATCACGAATAACCAACGCAGAGTCTTGGGCAGACCGAGGTCTAAGGCGAGGGTGCGTACGCCGTAGGAGGCGATGGAGGTACCGTTGGCAGCGAACAGGTCATACGAGGGTTGCTTTGACTTGTCTCGTAGTGAGGGAGGGATGAGGCTGACCGATGAACCGGTGTCGATGAGGAACTTCTTGCCGGAGGTGCGGTCGGTGACGCGCAGTAATGAGACGCCTGGAGGGACGGAGGCTGAGGCGTCTACCAGCCTCCGGTGTTGCCGTTTCCCGAATAGGTGCAATAGGGCTCACAGTTTCGAGCATAGCGGCCGAAAGTCTGGTGATACCAGCAGAGGGTAAATTTGTTGTGCTGGGGGTTGGCTGCTGTGTGTCGGAACTTGTAGGGCGTAGTGTGTGAGTCAGGAACCGGCGCAGCAGCGGGTATGGAGGAGCAGAACTGCTCAATGGTGTCCATCCTGCGGTTCAGAATTTGCAACAGGTCCTTGATGTCTTGTGAGGTATTGCTCGGCTGAGGGGTGTTGACCCGGCTTACAAGTTCGATGGTAGGTACTGGTGTGACCGTGGCGGCAAGGGGTGCAGCAGCGCACTCGTTAAAATTCTATCTGCCGCGGTTGCATATAGTTCCGGTGTCGTGGAGTAATCTACTGCGGACAAGATGTTGCGTACTTCTGTGGGTAGCTTTTGTGCGTGAAGCTGGCGCAGGATAGAGTCGGGGAGTCTGTCTGTGTGACGGGAGTTCAGCCGACACATCTCCTCCCAGAGACGTCCCGGGGTTGAGTTCCCGAGGGAGGTAGAGGATAGATCTTGCAGGAGATTGGGGCTGGTCTGTTGATAACACGTCTTCAAGGCAGCCCGCAGGGTAGCGAATTTGTTGTGATCTGGAGGGTTGGAAATGGTTTGTGAAACCCGCGTGGCCACTTCCGTGGGTAAGGCACAGAGCAGGGCGCAATACTTTTGCCCGTCGGTCGCTCGTGAACCGGCGAGGGCTGCTTCCACATGGTCAAGCCAGTCCTCGACGTTGTGGTTGAAAATCGGCAGAGAGATCCGTCCGTCCTCCATCCTGTGTGAGTGCTTATCTCCGGGAGTCACCATTGTAGGGGTATCGAGATATTAATGTTGTCTAGCACTCAGGATGGAAGGAAACTCTAATGTGGTTTTCTTGTATAATATAAAAGTTATATGCTAGACAGTCTGGTGCTGGAGGTGCTGTGTGGTGAGGAGCTGGTCAATAGAGACGTTCGGTGAGTAGCTTGGTGAAGGAGGTAGATGTGCAGGAGCTTCGTTAGAGAAGATGTTGCCTGTTGCTGGCCTCCTGATTGAATGAATGCTGGATAGCTAGGAGCTTGCTGGAGATGTTGCTTGTTCAGGAAAATGGGCAGAATGAATCTCAATGGAGAGACAGAGCTCATATACACCCAGCAGCGGCCGCCAGTCCTCTATGAGTCATGTTGGGAAAACCCGAGAAGTAGCCGGTGACTAGTTCCGTTGCTAAGATACGGCGGGCATTGGAATGCGGATACGCTTGGTTGCTAGGGAAGACGGTAGCAGGTGGTGTGCAGCTACGCAGTTTGTAGAGACGTCCACTACAATAATAATAATAATAATAATAATAATAATAATAATAATAATAATTAATAATAATAATAATAATAATAATAATAATAATAAAAATTAATAATAATAATAATAATAATTAATAATAATAATAATAATTATAATTATAATTATAATAACAATAACAATAATAATAATAATAATAATAACAATAACATTTAATAATAATTAGCAAAAATAGATACAAATTACAACCAAAAAATATTAATAATACTAATAATAACCATAAATTAATAGACAAACGAAAAAATAAAGAGTGAGAAACGATTTACAGCATGTTGTGTTGTCAATACAGGTAGTAAGAAAACAATTAAAACCCTGCAATTGTGTGTAAATGAGGCAGAAAGTCAGATCAGCAACCTGGGACTTGGTCACAAATTTTTGTGATTCACATGGCAGCAGGGTCTATCATAGACAACACATTATGCTTCCAATATCTTCCCAAGCGGTAGTACCTCCCTGTTTGATAGGTAAGTGGTGATTGAGGAGGTGAGGTGAGTGGTAATGAAAAGTGGTGAGATTGAAATTCAGTCAATTTCACCAAGGACAACTGAAAAAGCATGAGAGGCTTGTTTCCAGTAGAGTCTTTATAGCATCTGGGGTTCTTAGGACAAGGTGGTCCACCCATCCAAGTAGTGTACTGTATTAACCAGACCCAACATTGCTCAACTTCGCTGATCGGACAAGAAGTTGTGTTTCAAACGTGGTACTACGTGATGTAAAGTGAAGAAGTGACAAATTTTATTTTATTTTTCACAATAAGAATGAATAAGAAAATAACATGAAATATTTAATGTAAGAAAATTTAAATGCATAGACATAATCTGAGTGAGGTTGGGGCGGGTCCTGTTAATCAGATGAATCTCTGGAATGAGGGTAGTCATGGTAACATTATCCACCCAAGGGTGACTAAGTAAATTAGCTGTGGTTACACTTAACTAGAGGATAGTAAATGGAATGGTGGATTGTCAAGGATTTACATTCCTAACGGAGCTTACTGTACACTGTTCAAACAATCAAACCTATTCCAATCATTAGGACTGAGGCCCCAGTCCTACTAGATCGAAGTCATAATGGGTCCAACCCTAATTAGTAGGGTAGGTTAGGTTTGGCTTCAACTGATCTACAGCTAAATAAAGCATCACAATTTTTTCCATAATGAAATTGATGATCAGTTAAGGATGGCCCTCCATTAACAAGCCTCGTCCAATTATTAGTGTACTAAAGACTAATCCTTTGGCACAAAAAAAAAGACAGCATAGCGGACACTTTATTACCTGTCACTTCCTCATAATCATTCTGAAGTTTAGGTACTGGAGCAGCCTCATGAAGTGTTACTAATGGTAGGCAGAATATGGTGCCATATTTTGAAGATTAAATTTTTTTAAATGTGTTGTCACAGTTTGCAGACACTATCAAAGGTAATAAGACTGCTAATCCCAGGTGAGGAATCAGTGGTAGTCATTAGCTTAACACATTCTGTTAGTGAGAATCAACCATGTAATCTGTTTTGTTATTTCCAGTCAACTAAGGAATTTATCCCAGACCAACCTGACACTTCTCCAGTACGAAAGCCTGCTCACATCCCGAAGCGGTTTATAATTGAGGAGGCGGACTACTGCAAGAAAAGACCCAACCTGCAAGTGATTGCCTATGTCCATTCCTCCATTATGCGGGTCACACAAAGGATGCAGACCCGTCAGACCTGGGCCAACGCGTCTGCTTACAATCTGGGGGATATAAGTGTTAAAGTTGGCGCTGTCTTCATGGTTGGGCGAGCCAAGAATGAAGTGGAACGAATGATTGTGAAGGAGGAGAGTCAACGCTACCATGATATTATCCAGGTGAGTCTACGATGCTACGACCATTATGTGCTGCTGATCATCACACACATTATTTATAATTGTTAAGAAATTCACCAATCCTTGACAGGACCTTTTCTTGTGTTCTGAATCCAGTGAGCCTGACAAGCATAGTGTGTTAAGTACTTGAGAGCATTATAAGAGATGCCATGATGGAACATCTACCTTGTAAAGGCTGCCAACACAAATTTATGCAGGGATGCTCCTGCTTAACACAATTACTCAAAGTAGGAGATGTTTGGACTCAAATTCTGGAACAGGGGGGGGGGGCAATATCGACAATATATACCTAGATTTTGCTAGGGCTTTCGACAGCGTACCCCATGAAAGGCTGAGAATTAAACTGGGAGTGTACGAGATTCAGGGAAGTGTCCTACTGTGGATTGGAGACTTTCTACATGACTGCAAGCAGTGTGTGGTGATAAATGGTATGAAATCATCCAACTGTTAGATAGGGTGGAATCAAGGGCATTTCGTCTTATTAACTCTCCTCCTTTAGTTGATAATCTCTCTTCCGTTTCTCTTCACTGCAATGTTGCTTCACTTTCTCTTTTACAGGTACAGTACATTAATGGGCAATGTTCGGTAGATTTGGCATCCTGTGTACCGCTGGCAAGGCCATGAGCTTGTAACACTCGTCTTGCCTGCGGTGCCCACTGTTTCTCTGTGGTTGTCGGTCACACTTGAATAACCCATTATAGTTTCTTTCCTCACAGAGCCAAACTGAAGAATGCTCTCCCTTCTTCTGTGTTTCCATACTCATACAATCCGTCTCACTTCAAAAAGCTGGTTTTTTGGCATCTTCGTGGTGTTGATTAATATACAGTAATCTTTTTCTTTTCTATTTTTAACTTCTTTTTACTCTAATTTTTTTGCCCCCTAGGCCCCGTTGTGGGTCGATGACCTGTGCCTGGGTGGACTATTCCCCGAAAAAAAAAAATAAATGTGTACCCGTGACAAGATGTTTGTTTCATAAATGACATGCCAAAAGCTATACACTCCTCCAAACAAATGTTTGCAGACATTTCCAAGTTATTCAGGGAAATTAAGAACCAAACAGACTACCAAGAGTTGCACAAAGATCTCTATGAGCTTCAAGAAAGGTCAGAGAAATGGCTGCTAAAATGTCGCAAAGTGAAAGAGGATGCACCTGGGTCATACTAACTGTAAGAAGGCGTATCATTACAGTAAGGAGGCGTTTCATATATCCCAACGGGACGAAGAAACTGCATTAATAGAGACCAAATGCGAAAAGGACCTAGGTGTGTAAGTTGACAATGAACTGAAGTCGTGAAGTTCTTAGGCCATTGTGACAAGGTGAATCAAGCACCTAAAAGTAGGTCTTGTAAGAAAGTCGTTCAGATACTCTATCTAGATGGTCCATCCCTTGTAACGATCTTCAAGAGTGAGGTGTTTCCCAGCCTGCAATTGCCTAGCTTATACTACAGATGGACAAGTGGTTGAAAAAGCCACAAGTCCAGAAAAATGTGAGGGCAAACTTTTTGGGAGTGAGAATTGTGAACTCTTGGAACAACCTGCCACAGTGTTATGACAGCACCGAATGTGAACTCTTTCAAGAACATACTTGACCAACACTGGAGCAAGTTCAGATACATTCAGGAGCCAATGCATGGCCAGTACTTGCCAACAGTGCATAATAGAGATGTGACCGGCTGCCTAAGTGACCAACGAGCCAGTCACTGGCGAAGAGGATAAAAGTAAAATTTAGTAAAGGTTACTTTAAACCTTTCATGAAGTATACTATCAAATTTCTAAGTAGAGTTGAAGTAAATATCGTCAGTATGATCACCATGTCCTAGATTTTAGAATGTGTGACCATACATCCAGTACCTCCAGCAGCTGTGTCAAGTATACATCTGTAATGGAATTCCTGCAAAAGGTTGTTCTGTGGAAGATGGTGTAAAGAATTTTGGAATAGTAGTTTACGCTAATAAATTTGTGGTAGAAACACAAGGCCCTACTCCATTGCAGTTAAAATCTTTACCATTGCTACAAAATCAAAACTCTGAAGAATTACTTATAATTACTATTTAATAATTATAAAAAAGTAATCCATGCACTGATTCAATGGCAGACACCTGGTATAAGCAGATAACAAAGGGATCACATTAACTTTAAACAGTGTTACTAACTATTATGGACAACCGATGTTGTCATATGCTGTCTCAATAATACATGTTATAATTCGAGTGTCTTTTACACCACCATAAGATGACTTGGCCAAAACATTATCAAAACTGAATTGTACAGTCAGATTTAGATAGTCTAATGTCCTACTCTAAAATATAACAAATATAAAGTAATTATCTTTGATGGCGAGACATTTTTGACTCCTGGACTGGTGTTAATTTCTAAGCCATAATAACTTCTATAGTTGATTGGACATCCATGCTTCTATTAAGTATTGATATACACAACTAATATAAACTTAAATGGACTTATTCTCGGTTATGAGAAGTTACTCGAAGGTCTAGTCGTCAGTGGTTGGGAAGTCAGCTAGGAAGTTTCTCCTCCATTAGTATCATTGCTGGTCTGACTGACACCATGTGGACGTAGTGCCTGGTGTCCCAACAGCTAAATCTGCGGAAAAATGTCTTAAGCCTAAAATTGATTTTTCTCCTAAATGATAAATATTAGTTGTTTATATTTTGATACTCTTATTATTTCATTAAGAAGTAGTTTCTTCTTAAATTTGTTAATTAAGCAAATCATAGTTTAAAAGACAGAAATTTCACCTCCCGCCAAAATATAAATTTCCTTTTCTTTCTAGTCATTTGACAAAACCTATGACCCTTCAGGCTTTTACGCCCTTAATGTGCGAGTCATAAAGGCACGTATGAACTTTGCACACTTCCCAGATGGGCGCTGTAAACACTTCTGCGCTTCACCTTGCACATTATGTAAGGGGGGTGCCCAATAAACTAGCCCCCTCGGGGGCAAATCTGAATCTTACTAGTAATTCGAGCAGTACATTTAAATACTTACTTTGTTATCTCATCAGAATAACTAGGAACGTAAGATTAATATTCAGGCAGTGAGGAGCTATTGGACAACTCTTTGGGATAATGGGCATCTGTTTGTTATCTTGAGGGTTTGTTCGATAGGTTTAGGGTGTCCGTTACACCTAGGGTTTACTGCATTGTTTTTTGCCATCCTGTGTCCAAAGCATGTGTTAAGTGCAAGGAGTGAGCCTAAGCAGAAGAGTTAAAGTTAGAAGTTTAAAAGAGCTGAGTGGCGAGAATACAGCTAGCAACGCTTGCACATTAGGGACTGCCTTCTATCACTGCTCATTCCTTGAATAAGATGCAGGGCAAAATCAAACAAAACCTAACTTGACTACTAAAATTTCAGTGACAAAAATAATAAGGCAGATGATTAGTTAATGTTCAGTGCACATCATACTATGTATTGTAAAAGTATTAACTTGTGTATTCTTTGCTTGGATGTCATAGGGTACAGTGACAACAACGCGGAATATAACCAATCCTTACAATATTACTGTACATTATTTCTTATGGCAGAAATTGCCCCTTTATCGCTGCTTAAGTGACGTTAGCAACAATAGGAATGTTCCCACCTCATTCAAATAATTCTTATGGGGAAAATTCTAAAGTTATATTCATTTCACTATTTGTCCCTATTTTCTAGGACATAATCTGTCGAATAACTGCGTTAATCATCATCTGTGCTCGCAGTCCTTACAAAACCACCTACCACAGTACAGGCATCCCTGCGTTACGGAAGCCCGGGTTACGGAATTTCGCTCTTATGGAATTTGTAAATTATGACCAATAATTTCGCGTTACGGCCCGTAAATCCGCCCTAACGGAAATTGGGGTAAATTTTCGCAATTAAAAAAAAATCACTATACAATATAAAATTAAATGTTTCTCACCCCAGCAGTTGGATTTAACTTTTACAAACATACAGTAAGTACAGTACAGTGCATTACCCTTATTCAAGATGACTGGAAAGAGGTCATCAAGTGGAAGTGACCGCAGTAGTGCAAAAAGAAGCCGCAAAGGCATTACATTGGATATTAAACTTGACGTTTTAAGAAGGTTTGATGCTGGAGAAAAACTTAGCCAGATTGCAAAAACATTAGGTCTTGCTACTTCAACAGTGGGAACAATCCGTGATAATAAGGACAAAATTAGGTCAAGAGCTCAAGCTGCTACTCCATTAACTGCTCGAACCTTGTATTTTCATAGAAGTGATGTGATGCTAAATATGGAACGACTCCTGAGTGTCTGGATTGAAGATCAGACTAAACGCAATGTGCCACTAAACACTATGGTTATTCAACAGAAAGCCATAAGTTTATATAATGATTTGCAGGAAGAGGAAGGTGCATCTTCTGAGGTTAAACCTTTTCTGGCTAGTAAAGGCTGGTTTGAAAGGTTTAAGAAGCGCCTTAATTTACGCAACATAAAAATGAGCGGTGAAGCTGCCAGTGCCGATACAGATTCTGCTAATAAATATCCTGCTGAGCTGAAGAAAATTATTGATGAAGGAGGTTACACACCAGAACAAGTGTACAATGTTGATGAAACTGGGCTTTTCTGGAAGCACATGCCTGCTAGAACTTTTATTTCCACTGAAGATAAATCAGCACCAGGCTTTAATGCATCCAAAGATCGTTTAACACTTCTTCTGGGAGGAAATGCTTCAGGTGACATGAAATTAAAGCCCCTACTTGTGTATCACTCAGAAAATCCAAGGGCTCTCAAGGGCTATGCCAAGTCTAATCTACCTGTGATTTGGCATTCCAATAAGAAGGCTTGGATGACTATAACCCTTTTCCAAGACTGGTTCACTAACTATTTTTGCCCTGCTGTAGAAAGATATAATGCCAGGTGTAACATATCTAATAAAGCAGTGCTCCTCTTAGACAATGCACCAAGCCACCCGGTAAATTTAAATGATCTTTCTGATAATGTGAGAGTAGAGTACATCCCCAAGAACACAACTTCCTTGCTCCAGCCAATGGATCAAGGTGTGATAGCTAACTTTAAGGCATATTATCTTAGGAAAACTTTTTTGCAGCTCATAAAAGCAATTGATGGGGAGGATAAACCTATAATTAGGGACTTCTGGAAAAAGCTCAACAACTTGGATGCTGTGGATAATATAGCCAAGTCATGGGATGAAGTGAAAACCTCAGCTATGAGATGGTTCATGGTAAAACATATGGCCAGAGTGTGTCCATGAATTTCACTGTTTTTCACAGGCTGAAAGTCTACAGCAAGTTCAACAAGACATTGTGACACTTGCAAATAATGTAGGCTTTGAAGAAATCATAGAAAATGATGTGGTTGAGTTGCTAGAGTCCCATAGAGAAGATTTGACTCATGAAGACCTGATGATGCTGGAACAAGAGCGAGCTGCAGGACAAGAAGAGGATATAGAATCTCCATCCAAAACACTTCAGTTGACAACAAAGGATATGTCTAAAGCATTTGCACTAATACAGGAAGGTCTGCAAATCTTTGCTGATAACGACCCCAACCGTGAAAGGAACATGAAGATTGCAAGAGCAGTTAACAATGCTCTCAGTTCCTACAATGAGCTGTACAAGGAGAAGGTGCGCCGTAAATGTCAAACAACTTTGGATGAGTTATTCATCCTCAGAGAAAAGCTAAAAGCAGATGGTTTACAGGGCAGGGCAGAAGAGAGTATTGCCTCTCCCTCCAAATAACTTCCTCTGCACCACCAATCCTCACGCAGCAGTCAACATCTTTTGTGGTAAGTACAGTACAATATTTTTATTTATTCCAACTGTATTTCTCTTCATATTACATGTATATCATGAATTATTTAATGTACTGTATTGTATGTGTTTATAAATGTTTATTTTCATTCATAAAAGTGCTTGAATTACGTTTTTGAGGCCTAAAAAAATTCCGTAGGAATGCATCTCCAGTTTTATAATGGAAGTCAATGGGAAAATAGGTTTCGCGTTACAGAATTTCGCGATACTGTCAATTTTCCAGGGACGGAACCCTTCCGTAACGCGGGGGATGCCTGTACTGAAAATGCATGCCATCAGTCTCCATGGTTGCTTATCAAACACAGAACCACACTAACCGCATCTTCAAATATATACTTTGCGTTCATAGTATTTTGTGCTCCCTTTAGAGAAGAACACTAGGGATGGGCTTTATAGGTTTTTTGGTAGCATCTTCAGGCAATCAGATCTCATTGCACAGTTCTGTTCCCAATTTAATCACAACTCAGTTTTCTATGTGCATTGTGCACTTATTATATTCTTCTTTTTACTTCAGCATCAAATACAGCAAATCCTCGCTTAACATCGGGGTTACGTTCCTAAAAGTGCAACGTTATACGAAACAACGTTAAGCGGATCAATTTTCCCCATAATAAATAAATAAAATATGGGAGTTACATTCCTGAGTCTCCCTTTGCCCCATGAAATGCATTACAACTACTAAGTTTGTATTGGTACTCACCGATGTTCACCGATGGGCGGAGGTGGTAGAGCGAGTGTGTGGTGGGTAGCGAAGAGGAGGAGGCAGATGGTGGGAGGGGAGGAGTAGGGTGGGAGCGGAGGAGGAGGGAGGGAGCGGAGAAGGGCGGGAGCGGAGGAGGGCGGGAGAGGAGGGTGGCGAGTCACTGAGACTGCCGAGCCGAGTGTAGCGCGGCCAGACAAGAGGGGGTGATGCGCCATAAAAAGTAGTCCGTGACGACGCAAAGCAACGTTGTACCGAGTTATCGGGACGTTAAAACGAATTTTTGGTATCTAAAGATTAGCGACGTAGTACCAAAACAACGTTAAGCAGGCTGACATTATACGAGGACTTACTGTTATCTTTAAATTTTATGACTAGGCTTTACTATTGTGGCGTCATATTTGGCTCAGGGCCCGTCCAGAGGCTCGATGAGCGGCCTGGTATTGCATTCTTAAACATGCTTCTTTCTTTCAACATTCCTCATTTGCTATAAATATCTGTATGAACTGTACTTAAATATTTTCTTTCTGATTTTTCTTTATGTTTCCTCTCTATGCATCACATGCAGTGCGGCATAAATTTTTCTATTGTAAACCGAAATGTTCGTGCTACTCTCATATGAAGATGATTTTCCCTCAACTACAGTTCCATCAAACAATTACACAAATACTTTTTTTTTTTTTTTTTTTACCAGAGTTAACTGGATGGCATTATGAATTCATACTGCCCTATGAAAAGCCTGGAATACCAATACATTTTTTACAGGGCTTCAACCTGACATATAAAGGGCACAGGGATGCACCAGCCAAGTGAGGAAACCCCTCGTCTCTGGTCCTAAAGGTTGACCTTTTTGGACCCAGGGCACCCCTAATCCTATTACAGTATCTGTGAATGGGTCCATTGCTATTAAGCTGACCAGGGACAAAGAGGATAAAGCAAATCAATTCATAAACCATAACTTTACAGTTATGGAAATAAAGGTGGTCAGGTGCAGTGTTAGAAACTCCCTATTTATATACCAAGAAAAGGCTTATTATTTGGACTCACTTTCCATTAATGGTAAAAGGTTTAGGGGGTCAGTAATAAAAAAGGCAAGATATAAAATTGAGTGAAATCTGGATAGTTGTTGCTGTATTATTACATCTTTTCAAAGACATATTTTACAATTAAATTATTATTTTTTTTTTTGACCAGGGTGACTATGGTGACCACTACCGCCTGCTGACCTACAAGGGGTTGGCTGGCCTCTACTGGATCAATAAGCACTGTTCTCAGGTTCCCTGGACTCTTCATGCTGATGACGATACACACATTGACATCTTCCTCTACCACCAGGCCCTTAACGAGCTTAATGAAGAATCAAGGCAGAATTTTGTGTGCAGTCATATGTATGGGCCAGCAATAAGGTCAGGCAAATGGAAAGTCAGGTATGAGGAGTACCCAGCCAAGAACTACCCACTCTACTGCTCTGGCGGGGCATGGTTCTTGCAGACAAAGTTTATTCCCCGCCTCTTAGAAGCATCCAAAGTAGTCCCTTTCCTGTGGGTGGATGATGCCTACATCAGTGGCCTTTTGGCTAAACAGGCCGGTATTAAACAGTTACCCTTCCAGAAATATTATGGTGGTCCACGTATCAAGATGGAAACCCTTGGACACGAGGTCGTCTGGTTCATTAAATTTGCTCCTCGCTCAATCTGGTGGAACAATATTGTCAACTATCATCGAAATTATTCTATGCATAATCCAGTAACTCTGCTTCCAAAAGAAGCATTCGTTCCAAAATAAGTGAATAATCCAGCTCGATCAACCTTACATTGATTGATAAGGTACAAGCCAAATTAGTACTCAGTATAAAAGCATATATAGTACAGTGAAACCTCTATTTAATGGACTATATAGAGAAGAAAGACCATTATATCGAGGGTCCATTTTATGTGAAACCTCCATCTAATGAACTCCATAGAGATGAAAGTCCCTTATATCGAGGGTCCATTAGATGTGAAATCCTCATCTAGCAGAATACATGGAAAGAAAAGTGCGTTATGGTTTGAACCTACTACTCGCAAAGTCCAAAGACTTTCAAGAAGTTGCTGGGATATAAACAAACCTATTTTAACTTGACTCTGGGTCTTGAAAATCTGTATGTAATGGTTTTTTATTCAAAGTACAGTATTGTACAGGTACTGTATGCTTAAAATTATGTTCCTGAAACACGAGGAGGCAGTCTAATGCTTCCGAGGTGTGAGGACATTCCCGAGGCATGATTATGAGGACGTTCACACACATCTAAAACGGGAGGAGAGAACCAACTCACCAAAAACATTGATCTCTGATACTGAGCTGTGACAAGGTCAACACTGAAAATTTGAAGATCAAATGGTTCTCTGCCAAAAACGACTAATCATAATCGCCTCTTAGGCATTACGGACCTAAGCATTATGGTTGCAGCCCATTAAAATGAGTGATTTATTAAAACTGTATCATGAGTCAGGTCTTATGTAAACATGTAAACCACCAGGACAATAGCCCCATGTAATGGTCTTGCCGGCTCCCTTCCTAGTCACCACCCACAAGATGATGTTATAGCGTGTAATTCAGCTTTGCTAGGTGGTGGTGTGCCCACAACAAATTAAATGATGTATTTTACCATTAGACTTAATTAATGGAAGTGAATGTAATTATTAAAGTGAACGTAACCAAAGTCAAGTTTTGTTCATTTCATTCCTGAGGTGATATGGATTTCCTGTAGTGTACAATGGAAGACAAAAGTCGTATCGTGCAATTTGGTGAAAACATATGCCGAAGGGCTAAACTTTTGGTGCACTCTGCCTTGTGGTTGGGGGCTCACATAATGTTACACGAGTTATATTTAATCTTCAGACAAAACCGCGACATGACTTTTATCTTTGATTGTACATCCAGGTTCTTGATATATTGTCAATTAATAACAAAATGTCTTTGAACTAAGAGTGGGCTACAGGTATTATAAAATACTGTTTAAATTTGTCCTCATCAGGGGAAAACTCCTGTACTAAATGATGGTACTGTACTCGCCAAATTTCTGTCTTTTCATATGTGTTTTGTGTACCCATTTCCTCTTTTTCTTGGATAGTCCCAGTGTCAGGAGTAGGTTTCCTCATTTGAATAATCATCACATCACAGAGCACAACTAGCCATCTTGACTGATGGAACATAACTGAGAGCATTACTTGAGATACACGTTTTCTGGTGTGAGGACGACAGAGCACGTGCAATGGTCCCTCGGTTAACGAACACAATTCGTTCCAGAAGGTCGTTCGTTAACTGAAAATTTTGTTAACCGAATCCATTGTTTTAATGGGACATTGGGTAATTGGTTCCAGCTCACCGAAAAGTACATACAAAGTAAAAAAAAAAAAAAATGCAGTAAAGTACACTTACTTTGAGGTGTGAATGTAGAAGGCTCCTGGTTGATGATGATGATGGGAATTAGAAGTGGGGGTGGAAGAGAAGGGAGAAGAGAAAGAAGTGGGGAGGGAAGAGAAATCACCCCATGCTTGATGCCGTCATTTCACCAATAAAATTTTAAGTTCACTAAGTGTAATTCAAGATTATTTTCTTTAAATCAACACTGCACTGCACTGCACTATATATTGTCAATATGTTAAATAAATTTCAGAATGACCAATAATTGTACTGTAAAAACGTAAAAATACTCTGTGTTCAAGAGACCCACAAGAAAGATGTTTCCTCCACTGAACAGAGACACAAACTGATGCCTTGGTGGGTGAGTGAAGTGGCTGATGGGCCCACCAAAAACTAGTTCCCTGTACTGCAGTTCTGTTAAATTAGTGTTAAAACGACTAATAATTTTAATATAAAACTTGGAAAAATATTGAGTAACACAACCTTCTTGACATTTACTCCAATGGAAACGAATGTAAGCCCTAGAACCGATTACTGTATTGGCAGACTAATCTTCCAGCTGGTGAGCAAGCCAAAGCATGTTGACATGTTTTCGTAAGAATTTCGTTAACCGAATTTTTGTTTGTTAACCGAATTGAAGATTCTTATGGAAGGTAATTCGTTAACCGAAATTTCGTTAACCAAGGTGTTCGTTAACCGAGGGACCACTGCATAGCTAACAGAGCATGCGTAGTGTGGCTCGCATAGCTCCTAGTGTGAGACTGCCTTTATTGCTTTTTTGGGTAACACCCATGCTGTGGCAAAGTAACACACAGCATCAGTGTCACCCATTTTACTTTCATCTTCAATCATTCAATCTATAAAATTATTCTGTTGGTGTTGTTTCACAGACTTACCATGTATTAAGGCCTTGGTTCATAGACTGGATTAAACTTGCAGCCTTGGGATGGAGAAATACTGCAAACAGGTTTTCATGAATCAACATATCTGTCTCAGGATGGGTGGGCTCCACAGCTGTCTATACCTAGCATGCGTTACTGTTTTCTGTTAAACAAACCTCGCAAAATGGATTTTTTTCTTCACATTTTAAGTTATGATTAAAATAGTCCAGGAAAATGTTGTGTTATCCAAGTATTTTTACTGCTCCTGTAAATAACTGGAAATTGCTTAATATGTTTAACCCTTAGCTGGCGGCCGAACTATATATAGATGGTCCAGAATGTGCTGAAAAATTGCGGTGAGACTATATATAGACACTTCTCCAAAATTCATCTCCTGTATTTCCCAGCTGAGACTATACATAGTCGGATATGTATGAGTGCCCTAGAGCCTCAGAAATCCCTAACTAGCAACTCAAGGGTGGCGATGGCTTGCCTGATCGCTGGCGCCAGCCGCCTAAAGCTCCAATCACTCGAACAGTCTGTTCCTAACTTTCATAAGGTACAGAGCACTCTCTCTGGTTTCATCTGTGGAGCTGAATTTCCATTATTTCTTTTGATATTTTGAAGAGAGCTAAGTTTTGTCAGATATAATTTTCATTTTTTTTTTGTCTGTTTGGCATTTCACCATTTATTTACTTTTTATTTTCTTTGCCTGTACAGTATATAGAAATTATAGCCATAATTATGTTCCATAGGAGGAACATTCCTGATGAGGAAATACAGTATATTCTAGACCACAATTTTGATAATAAATTCATGGATGATAATTATTAGTGATGATGCAAAATCAGATAGTGGTGGTGATGACACAGATAGTGGTGATGAATCACAACTTGAGATTATTACAGAGGAACCAGATGATATTCTGTCAGGTGCAGAAGTTGATGGTCAAGATGACAGTGCTCAAGTTGGATGGTTGAACAATTCTCCAGTTAGTAGAGAACAATTTCCATTTACTGGAGACACGGGAGTCAAAGTGAGAGAGACAAACAAATATGCTGCCAAGGTCTGTAAAGAAAAGAGAAGGAGCACAAGTGTATTACAAAGTACTACAAGAAGCTATTTTTCAGGCTGATAGAAATGAGTTTGCATAACTGCCATGTAATCTACAAGAAAAATGGAAGCCAAAAAAACCTCCTTGACTTCAAGTTGCTCTTGATCGAACAGATTGTGTCTGCATATAGCAAAGATGTTTATTAGATAAAGAAACCCACAAGTTCAGTGACTCTTGGGCCATGCCCTACAAGACTGAGTGGAAGACATTTCCCAATAGAGACAGAGTCAGCTGAAGGTTGTAGTACAAAGAAGGTTCAAAGGAGATGTACTTACTGTGCCATACAAAAGAAAGTGAGGAGAAGTATCTACAGCTGTGATGTTTGTCAAGTTGCACTGTGTATTACTCCATGTTTTAAGCTTTACCACACATCAGAAAGCCTTCCAACGTAGGAGTGACAGCATTGAATGAACAAATGCCATAAGAAGCAACAGTAAGTCAACAACATAGTAAGGACGGGTGGGAGGGAAACCACATCCAGATCACAAATCTTGGACACAGCTTTGGCTGTGGGTGTGAGTGACTCCACGTGCCTTACTTATACAAATATAAATAATAGCCAGCCACTTACAAAATTCACGTTTTAATATTAAAAGCATCTTTGCTATGTTAATGAAATATAGCAACTGTTCCATATTGTGGTAGAGTCTATATATAGATGGTGCTAAAATTTCACAAAATGCGGTGTAACTTTATTTATGTTCCACTTCAGTGGTCAGCGGCATCTATTAATGACGATTTTTAAATTGGGCGCTTCTTCAATCACTGCTGCCGCCGGCTAAGGGTTAAAAGCACGTGGATAAGCACTTTTTCCAAATAACTAATGGCTTGCGCTTGCATCTAGCAGCATTTCAGCACAAAAACAGTGTCACACATTCCTTCAACTCCTTAAAGCTTGCTGCCTCTTTCTCATCTCCAGTGGCAAACGTCTTCCAAGGTAAACATCTATATATAAAAAAAAAAAAAAAAAAAGAAGTCTATTCTCGTCTGCACTGAAAACTTATTCAGCAGCAAGATTGTACCACTATAAATTTTGAAAATGTTTCAACATACTTAGCAGCACTTTCAGAGTCTGCAGAATGTTTTTCTCCTCAAACTAGCTTTCGAATACCATGCATGTCTTTGCAGCGATTTAGCCACAAGGCTCTTTGATACTCATTTGCTGATGAAAATGCTCGGCTTTCTTTATGATCATCAGTCCTCAAATAAGTTTACCCTCATTGCAATTCTCCGAAACCACTTTGTCTAACTCTGAAAACTTTAACTGTTTTACGTTTTTTTCTCTTTTAAATTCCTTTGTTTGATCTTGTTTTGGTATAAAGCTTCAAATTCTGTTTTTTAAATTGTAGACTGTGCTTATTCTAACCCCATACTTCTTCACAAGCTTGCATACTGTTTCACTTGCCTCAACTTATCGTAATAGCTCCACTTTCTTGTTTAGTATCAGAGCAAGTCATCTATGTTTTGCACTACATGATGCTGGGCAATCCATTAATCACTTTTTGAAAGACATTGTTAACACTGAGGCATGAAACAGAACAATCAAAACGCACGAGCGATGTGGGCTGGCCTTTGTCATCACTTAGACTGACTGCCAATGCCAACCATGGAAGGAAAGGGTCACTGAACTGAATATTCGGATCAGTGGGAAGGACCACAAGTTAATTCATCTCCTCTTCTTGATAGCACCAAGAGTAGGTAGCAGATCAAATCCACTCCCGAGAATCAGTATTTCTATTAAATTGTATAAACATAAAATTGGTATTTTACTGAAAATATGATTCCAAAACCAGAAAAATAAAAAATTGATCCAGAAATCCAATTTTTTCATGAAAATCAGAACAAGGAAACTATCACAATACAGTACTGTGCAACATATAATGAATTGGGGTCCATCAGACAGAACATCCTAACATCAGCCAAGGTTAATCTATTCATACCTTGGATAAATTGTTTACTTCCCCTTGCCTTTGTCCCATCAGCCTCAAATAAAGGGGACAAGACACAATGGTCCCCCCCCCCCCCAAAAAAAAACATAACTCCATTGAGAGCAGTTACCATATAACTAAGTACCTGTACTGAATCCCTATGATGACTTATTCCGCTGTTTTGAATCCAACTAAACACAAACAAATCTAAGAAAGCCCAGGCTGAGTCCACTGCTCACACTTGAATTTGTAATGACTAGTATAGAAACCAAGGGAGAAGGGAGGAAGTTTCCAAGCCACACAAGTTTGAATCTTGTTAAAAAGGGGATTTAAAGATCATTTCTCCATTTCTGTCTCTACCTTTCTGCCAGAT